AAAATAGCATAGTATAGAGTACAAGTTGTGTACTATAAACTGCCAGAAAAGCTGAGGAAGAGTACCGTGAAATTTGTTAACTTTCTAATCTCGGAAGTTGCCACACTAATTTCATAGTAAAGGGAATATTTCTTTTTGATAAAACGATAAAATTTGTTCTTTTCTTCTATTATACGATAGTTCCATATTCTTTTTCTCAGGCATATTGAATAATACTGTTCTTAATTTTGTTTCCAATCAAATTACCGGTGAATATATTCACCGGTGAGTAAATTCACCGATGCGAATTTTGACGGCTTCCCTTACTAGGGCTGTCGGAATTCCGTTAAAAAAAGCCACTATGCCACTGCCATTATGCCACTAACTCAACTTTTTTTCAGTTAGTAGTTATTCTAACTACTAACTGGAATAGTTAGTAGTTGGAATAACTGACTAACTTTTTCGGTGAAAATATTCACCGGTGAATAAATTCACCGATGCGAATTTTGACGGCTTCCCTTATGCAGGTGTCTTGTGATCGAAATACAAAGCTCGTCTTCATGCGATCTCGAATAAAAAAGTAGACGGGCCTACACACGTTTGAGAAAATGGTCAAAATGTGTTCGAAATCGGGTGCGTACACGCGCTCCAAACATTAGGAAATTGGAAACATCTTGATCGTGAGACAAACGTTCGACCGCGTTTTTCTCTTCTTTCTTGAAAACAAAACCGTGTGAACGCGTCAAGCGACAAAATGTTTGGTTTACATTGCGATAAAAGCTATGAAGCACGCGTAGGAGACACGCTTATTTTCTTGAAGAAAGCTCGTTTATTCGACGTATAAAAAGGCGTCTGGCTGGATTCTTCCTTAATCAATATTAACAGTTTACATCTAGACGAATCTGATCCCGCGTGCGCATAGACGTTTTTTTATATGCCGAAAGTGGAATGAACGTTGAGAAACAGGACGTACAGTGCGTTACACTAAAAACACAGTTTTCTTCTGTACACACTTCGATGAAACCGCGTGTTATTCGATATGAAGAGAATGAAAATGTTTTATTACTGACTTTTTTTCTTCAAAGGAAAGAGAAAAAGTGTTTATCTAGGAGGCAAACACCCCTTGTACTTGACTCAACTGAAGAGAATGTAAAATGCGTTTTCTCGTTATTCCTCACGTCATATGAAAATAACAATGACAATGGTAAGGCTGTTTCAAATTATTTTCGTTGTTTTGCACCATTAGCTGTAGTTCCGTCCTGCGAAAACAGAACCCGGACCCTTTCGCCAAGTTTTCTATTGAAACGTCTGCTCTCACTTCTCTTTCATTTCAATTGAATTAAAAACCCATAGAATGTGTAAGACTGTGTATATAAAATGATCAAAACGGTAGAAAGAAACAATCACTTACAATATTTTGCTTTCGTGATGTAGTTGTAAGTTTGTCTACCTGAAACATTCCTTGTGCTGTTGTCCTTAAGTCGATAATCTTTTGTCCACTCTACGATGTCTAGGTAACTGTATCATTGTGTTATACATCTCTGGACAAAACCAGTGAACAGATTCAAATTAAATGCGTAATACAGTTTCAAATTTAAATTCCAATCAACTTCAATGTTCCACTTCGACAAAACACAGAATGATTCGTCGAATGTCAAACACATTCAGTTAGTAGATGACAAACAATATAAAACAGTAGAAGACAACTTTTTCAAATCTTATGCATCAACCATAAATTATATTCAACAGAAACTGACAGTTTCACGACCACACACCGAGGCCGCGATTCAAGCAGCTGGTTTCACATATACCGAAAATAGTGGCAATGGTGTAGGATGTTCTGAGTGTGGAATGGAAATATCTGGTTTAACGAAGGAAATGTCACCGTTTGATGAGCATAAAAGCAAAAGCCCATTGTGTCCATTTGTGACGAAGATGACATGCCTTGAGAAGCAAAATGGATTATCAGCAGGTACGTGGCGGCGAACTGTTTCATAGTGAAATCATGTCTAAGCATTCCTTCTTCAGATCAATCGACATCGCCTACCCAAATCAAACCACCAAAATTACAAAAAATGGAAACATCGACATGTGTGGTAGATGCCACTACTCAACAGAATAATAATAAAGGAAAGCAACAACAGGAAGAAAAATGTTTGAACGACCTACCGAACAGCTGAACGGCAGAACGACTTGCGACCGACCGGGCGGCGAAGCAGCTATTTTTATGCATAGTGTTTATGTATGGATCAACAAAAGTACACATAATAATAATAATAATAATGGCGATAATAATGAAGATGATCATAATAATATTAGTGCGCACTCAGTTGATGCATCAAGTTTAAAAGCCTTCTTCGTTCTTTTCTTACGGATCTTATGCTACTATTTGTGGATATCCATTAAAACAATCTGTATTAAATTGAAGCTTTAGATATCCCTGCAATTCTTAAAGTTCAGCTATAAATTGAACTAAATATAAGGAAAACGAGAGATACTGAGATTCAAAGACAGTACAAGGAAACGCATAACAACAACAACTTGAATAATTCATTTTTGTGTTCGCTAATTGATAATATTACTAATAGCATTAGGAAATCTTCTAATAATTACCAGTCTATCGAGTCCATAAAACGTTTTGCAATTTCTTTATTTATTTTAACTGGACGAAACGCCTATGAAGTTACCCCCTTAAATTTACCTGGAGTATCACCTTCACTACTGACTATTTTGAGCTATATTGAAAATACAGCCGGAAAATGGAACGAAGGCGATTTTGGCTTCGACTTGGTTAAAACAGCATAAATACTATATCTGTTGACAAAAACAATAATTACTTGGAGAAAACCAATCAAACATTTATGACTCTTTTCTGTTATGATTGGTAATAGTTTTACAGTGAGCACTCCTTCCTTGAACCTATAAAAGATGAACATTTGATGAAAATATAAAATTCGTTCTTTTCTGATGTTATTCTTTAAGCAAAAAACAGAAAAATGTCTGCTCTTCTAATGATGTCTATTAAAAACCGAATACACTGGAAGTATATATATGCCAATGTAGGTATGTATCCACGATACAATTAAAGGAACCGAAATAAAACAAAATAAAATAAATTTGAATTTCACTGCGGCAGAACGACCGACTGAACAGCTGAACGGCAGAACGACTTGCGACCGACCGAGCGGCGAAGCGACCGGCATACACTTTGAAATGCTCCCTTTAAAAATATGACTTCTTCAAGGGACACAATAGAAGATTCGCTAAAATTTGTGAATGATAGGATACAATAGAATAAAACACGCAATTCATAACCGCAGTATTTTCTACATATCACGCCAGAGAGACACACACGGGTGTATTGCCCGCGTTTTGTTTCGGTCAGCTGGTAGCAGATGCTCCGCTGTTAACGGCAGAACTTCAGCTAGAAAGATGCATATTCAACGAAGTGTAAAAAGTAAAAGAATTTGCAAAAAATGCTCAAGAAATCAATCATTGTTAAGGGCGGTCTTCTAACGTGTCCATGGCTTTAGCAGCACGATCATTGTCAGTAAACATCTGAGCGTCTTTAACAACACAAAACAGCATGTTTTTTATCGATCTTTCCTAGACGCAAGCCGATTCAAAAATTTTTTTCTAGTTCAATCCAGTTGGAGTCCATGAACTCAAAAAAATTCAGTCCAGTGGACTGGACTATGAACTGAGTCCAGTCTATACGGAGCTCCGTTCCGTACTGTATTCTTACGTCACATGAGAGGAGTAAATCAATTGCTGTGACACCTGAGAATCATTCTTTTCTCATTGCTTCTGATGTGGACATCGTCCCTACTTTTTCTAGTACGTCGTTCATAAGCTGCTTGATTTGCAATAAAATGAATGCAGGCTATAAACTGTTCTGAAAAAATCATAGTTAAGTAGCATTTTGCAAATCAAACAGCTTATGAACGGCGTAGAAAAAGTAGGGACGATGTCCACATCGAAAGTCTTGATTAGTCTGTATTAAATTGATAATTGATAACCATTTCTGAAGTAGTCGATAATGGTGGTTCATCATCATTTTCTGTGAACCTATCGAGACATGGCCTACAATAACAATTATCATTTATCATTAATTCTTTGAGGGCCAAATAAGATTACCTAATAAGAGCATAGACTGAGATTAGGATACTCTAACTGTACATGAAGTTCTTCAATTCTAGATTTGCAGTGTATGAAAAACAGCGGAAAGCACTCAATATTCAAAAGTTTTATCTTTCTACTGCTTTCTATTCGTGATAAAACCCAAGCTGTCCTACATACACTCGAGCGCATGTATCATATAAAGAGTGTTACAAAAAGTTGAAAAAAGGTCAATAGTGTCTAACGTACAAACTGAAAATTAAAAGAAAGATATAAACAATTATGGTAAGATATATACAAAGAACATAATAACACATTTTACATGAAATAGAGTTCAAACTGAAGTTCAGGATTTGACTAGATTACGACACGCATAGAACTTTTTAACTGATACAAGCTACAGAATATATCGAACATGAATACAGTCAAAACTGTCAAAATAAAAGAGTTAAAAGTACAATTTGGAACGGACTTGATTACATGATAGCTCATATTTTCTGCACTAATAAATTCAATTTGCAGTCGTTGCTTTTCTTATTGTCACGCCTTCTGTAGGTTTTCTATTAACAAATGGCAGTGAAAAGTGCATCAGGGCACTGAATATAAAAGCCAGACCTCCAATGACAAATGGAATATTGTAGCTATTTGTTATATCACGAATTGCGCCCATCACTGGTGGTGCTGTCAATGATGTTATACCGCGAAACATGAGTGTTAAACCCAATGCACTTGAATAAAATTCAAGACCAACTAATTGACAGACAATTACTGGACTCAATGATATATGAAATGCTAACAAGGAAAACTTGTAGTTTGATTAAAAATTATGTTGTGAACGAATTCTACTTACCAATAAATGTTCCCCAAATGGCGCAGTATGTCAATAGTAAGGGATAATTTTGACATAATGGCACAAGTAGGGTGGCTATACCTGCTATCAGTAACCCGATATTGTTCACTATTAGCGGGGACATCTTAGGTAGTTTTGCAACCCAACCAGATGCGAATCGACTGCCAGTATTGAAAAATCCTATGCAAGAGTACAGAGTTATGTATTTATCTGTGTCGTACAGATGTGTTAATTACTCCACCTACCAATCACAGAAATGAGAAATACTGCTCGATATTCCGATATTCCAAGTTGATAAGCAAGTTTTGTTGTAAATAAATAAGGTGTATAATAACCAATCATTGAACAAACATTTGCTAAACAAATAATTAACATTTTTGGATCTTTTAATACGTGAATATTTGTCATTCTTAAAAACACATCCCAAAATGATTTCATTCTTGATGAATGATAATCTGCTGATGTGTCTGGAATATCTGTTGTTATTTGTATGTATGTAGGAATATCGGGTTGGGATTGATATTCGGGCAACATTTGAACGTCACCTTGATACAAAACATCTTCTTTATACAATCTAAAATGATATACATCTTGTACAGTATATGATTATAACAAATAAAGAAGAAAACTTACGGTCTCACGGCATCCTCCTCTTTGATTGATTGTCTTGATTTTAAAGATATTAATGAATCTTTTCTCGATCGTATATCATGCGAATTTCTATTTGAATCCATGATGATTTTCTCATCGTCATGTAATAATGGAGAAGTTGTCTGTACAACAGACAACAATCAAAGAAAGTTTAGAAGAATTGCAAAGCCTATTAACATTTACCTGCTCTATAAATACGTCGCCTTCTTTCTTCTCATTTGTTCTAAAAATGGAAAATCGTTGTTTATGGCGAAACTTTCTAGAAATTTGTTTGATTATACCATTATTTTATATGACAATCAATCACTCTCCCATCTAACGATCACAATTTTTTTTTCAGATTTTGATTTCTGTAGACAAAGTAACTTTGTTTATAGAATAAGCATACATATACATCATATAACCCATAGAATGAAGCAATGTTAAAACTTTTCCTTTTAACTTTAGATTAGTCTATATATATATAATATCTGGTGTGAATATGAGCCTGATCTATATTACTTCAATCTATGTCCGGTAGCGGCGCGAAGAAGTTAAAGCAGGGGGGGTGTAGTTTTAAAAGCCAGAGTAAGGTCAAAAAAGATTTTCTGGCAAGTTTGATAAGGTAAAAGAAAAAATATAAAATTCGCCATTCACACTTCATGTTTTACACGTGAGAGTGGATATTTGTACATTCTCCTCGTATTGTACATATACGTTTATACGTATATTTATACGTGTCTTTGTGAAATCTTTACTTTACAATTGTTAAATGGACTTAATATAATTAACTATATTGATTTGTGATTAAAACAATTTATGACATACATGCAGAGTTTGGAATATCAAAGATATAACGAAATGTCTACTCCTCAACGGAATAAGACGGTAAGGGGTGCGACAAGTTATTCGGATCATCCAGAGGAGAGCTATTCGGCTAAAACGAAAACTCGATCGCCGGCAAACGAAAATTTCGAAAACGACTCCTCAGTACGGCAATATCAAGAAGGTTGGAATGTTAAGCGGACTTACCGCAATCTTCAAAACGAACTGAACAACGTTAAACACCGTCATCAAGACGATAATAATCAAACGATTCGAACTCGGTAATGGAATAATTCGAATAGAAAAACACAAAAAAGTCACTCAATCAACGTACTACAGTGTCAATACAAAACGGGCAAATATCAGACAATCGAAATCAAGACGGTAGAAACATAAACGATCAACAACAGCAACAAATATATATGACTAATCAGGCGCTGCGTTTTGCAACTGACGTGAGGATAGATTTTCACCATTAAGAATTGTGTGTAACCCGAAAGTGGCGAACCAGCAAGAAGGTATACAGTTGGTAAAGGAACTTATTAACAAAGCTGAGCAGAACTTTCGTCGATCGAATTATCAATCGAAACCCCCATTAGACCACTTTACCGTTGATTAAAATGGCAACTAGTTGCACTATACGAACCCTACGAAAAATTTAGGCGTAAATGTGACAAAAAAAATCATTAATTTACGCGCTTTTATACGGTATTACTTTGGCATGAAATACGGTACATGGAGGGTCTCA